AACAAAAACAAAAACAGGTGAAATTAATTTTAATAAAATAAGTTTTATTTAACCCAAGATTGCTGAAACATCATTTGAACACGTGACCAATATAAAAATTGAGGTATCTTATGTTCTAATATTCTACTAAGTCTTCAAAATCCAGTGTGCGTTTTATACTAATAAGCACATCTCAATGTGAACACTAAATTTTTATCAGAAAAGAACTGATCTGTATTTAAACTTCATAAAATTCACATTTGAAAAAGCAGATTCACATATCCAGGTTGTTCTAAACACACAAGTTCTCTGGTAACTGAATCAAGTAGTTTTTAAATTTATATTTAAATTAAATATATTTAAATGTTTTAAGTTATATTTAAATTAGTTAACGAAAAACTCAGTTTCTCGGTCACACTAGCTACATTTCAAGTGCTCACGAGCTACATGTGACTAGTGGCTATTAAGTCTATACTGATCTTCTAGCTTCTTGTTTATAACTGTCTACTGTTTAACTCTATTTAGTTTTTCATCACTTCAAACAAATCTGAGACCTTTAAACTTTATCTGTTTCCTTGGTTATGGACATATTCCACTGGTTAATCTGATTTTGTGCCCAGTGCCACAATGATCACTGTAGCTTGACCAAGTGTTTACTTGGGGGAGGGGGACAGCAGACAGTCTTCCCACCCTCTCCATTTTTTCTTGGTAATTCTTTCTTGATCTGTTATGCTGTAAGTTTGAATAATTTTACTTACTAAAGTAACGGAAACATGTAAATTTCATTTTTGTTAGGGAAGTATAGAAATGTAATCGATCCCCCCCGCCCCCGAAACACTGAATGCTTTTATCAGATTTTCTCTCTCTGCAAGACTGGAGGGATGCAACAGTTACTTCTTGGTGGAGATGTCATCATCATCCAGAAACTAAAGGCTACAGTTCACAGCAGGCAGAAATGGGCCCATCAGGATGTGGCTGAATCTCGACGTGAGGCCATCTGCTCCCCAGCATCACTCAGGAAGGGATTTCTTTCATGGTCGGAAGGGGAGGGCACCTAATGGCTCACTATGGGAAATACAATTAATTATATGGTTTTCATGCCATCATCTGCCTTTACCAATAAGAGCTGCAAAAGATGTATGTCTCTGAATGATACAGAACTAATTTTTTTTTTTTAAATTTTTTTTTTTTTTAAAGATTTTTTATTTATTTACTTGACAGGGAGAGATCACAAGTAGACAGAGAGGCAGGCAGAGAGAGAGAGAGAGGGAAGCAGGCTCCCTGCTGAGCAGAGAGCCCGATGCGGGACTCGATCCCAGGACCCTGAGATCATGACCTGAGCCGAAGGCAGCGGCTTAACCCACTGAGCCACCCAGGCGCCCCAGAACTAATTTTTTAATATTGCCCTTGTATCTAGCAACTTTGCTGAATTCACCTATCAATTTTTTTTTTAAAGATTTTATTTATCTGACAGACAGAGATCACAAGTAGGCAGAGAGGCAGGCAGAGAGAGAGGAGGAAGCAGGCTCCCCGCTAAGCAGAGAGCCCGATGCGGGGCTCGATCCCAGGACCCTGGGACCATGACCTGAGCCGAAAGCAGAGGCTTTAACCCACTGAGCCACCCAGGCGCCCCTCACCTATCAATTTTAATGTTTTTTTTTCTGCCTTCTTTTGAATTCCTATAAATACAATCATATTTTAAGGTGATGATTTTTTTCTTTTCTAAATCTTTTTTTTTTTTTAAGATTTTATTTATTTATTTGACAGGCAGAGAGGCAGGCAGAGAGAGAGGAGGAAGCAGGCTCCCCGCTGAGCAGGGAGCCCAACGTGGGGCTCGATCCCAGGACCCTGGGATCATGACCTGAGCCGAAGGCAGTGGCTTTAACCCACTGAGCCACCCAGGCGCCCCTCTTTTCTAATTCTTATGTAATTTTTCTTATCTTACTGTATTGGCTAGAACCTTTGTCACAATGTTGAATGAAGTGACTGATAGAATCTTTTTTTTTCTTTTTTTTAAGTAGGCTCCATGCCCCCTGGGGCTTCCAGTCTTGACCTTGAGATCAAGAGTCACAGGCTCAACTGACTGAGCCAGCCAGGAACCCCTGATAGAATCTTTGCCTTGCTTGTTCCCAAACTCAATTTCACCATTAAGAAAGTGGTTTGCTGTTGGCTTTATATATTGGTCCTTTATCAGATTTTTCTTTTATCAGAAGTTTCTTTCTATTCTGAGTTTCCTAGGAGTTTTTAATGAATGAGAGATCAAATTTTATCAAATGCTTTTCTTCACTGCTTAAGATGATCATATTATTCTCTTCTCTTATTATGCAACTCATGTTAATTACACAGATCAATTTTCTGATGCTAAATCAACTTTGCAATTCCTGGAATGAACCCAACTGAGTCATGATATTGTTGGCTTTTTATATTACTGGTGGATTTTTGCTTCTTCATTTATGAGGGAGACTAACTTGTAAATTCCTTCCTCATAATATTCTTGTCAGGTTGTACTAAGCTCATTAAAATATATTAGGATGTATTTTTTTCTGTTCTCTAGAAGCTGTGGTTACTAAGGATATTATTTCTTTCTTAAAAGGTTATAAGTTACCAATGAAGCTATCTGGGCCTAGAGTAATCTTTGTGGGAAAATTTTAAGTTATGTATTGTTTTTAAACAGATATAGCCCTATTCAATGTTCAATGTTCATGTTCCTATTCTGCATCAATAAGTAGTATATAATCTTTGTTTTTCTAATTGTCCATTCTATCTGTCCCATTTTCAAATTTATTTGCAGAAAATTGCTCATAAAATACTCTTATGGAGGAAAAAGTTGTCTGCAGGATTTGGAGTAATGCCTCCTTTTACATTTCTGGTATTATTTATACCTTCTCTCTTTTTTCATTGGTCAGTCTTGCCAGGGTTTATCAATATTACTCTTATTCTTTTCAAAGATCCAACTTTGTAGTTCTTTTAATCCTCTCTACTGTACTTCCTCCCCTATATGATTAATTTCACTCTATGTATATGGCCTCCCTCTATTTTCTTTAGACTTATTTGGTAGTTCTTTTTTCTGACTTATTGAGAAATGTGGGTTTTTTTTTTTCTTTTCCAATTTTGCTTTTATAAAGCAGTGATTCTTGACCTTAGCTGCATATCACAGTCACCTGCAGAGCTTTCAAATGCTTGAGTCCCATCTGCAGAGATTCTGATGTGACTGGTCCGGGATGTGGCATGGGCATCAAAAGCTTTCTACTGTGCTGCTACGGTTAAGAACCACAGATTTAAAGCCATACCCTCTAAGTACAACTTCAATTGTATCCAATAAGTTTTTAATTCTTCTTGCTCATTCAAACTGGTTTAAAAGTTCTGCAGTGATATTATGTAAATTTTTTAAATGGGCAAATCCAATATATGGTTTCAGAAGTCAGGTAAATAGTTACTTTGGGGACAGAAGGGTGTCGTGACTGATGAAACACAGGGAAGCTTCCAAAGTACATGTTCGATGTGTGATTAACTCATTGAGCCAGACACATTTTATAAGTGTCTCTGTAATTTTATAGTAAACTTTAATATAATTTTTTAAAGAGAGAAACAGATCTCATACAAGGAGTAGGAATTATAAAGGCGATAACTGCCTTCTCACTATTAATACTAGAAGCTAGAAGGAACAGCATAATGCCGTCTCAATTCTAATGGGAAATGATTTCCAGCCTAGAATTCTGTATGCAACTTTTTGATCAAATGGGAGGGTAAAAATCAAAACATTTTCAGACAGAGGTTGCAGAAAAGTTACCTCCCCTGCCCCTTTTCTCAAAAAAGTCCTGGAGAATGTGCCCCACTTAAAAAGAGGAAATAAACAGGGAGATGAAGACACGAGATCTTATATTAAATATCTTATATTTCAATATTAGAGGAAGGCAAGAGAAATTCCCAAGATAACCATCCTGCCGCAGGCCTCAAAAACTAGTGCACCTGGGAGCCGCGGGTTGGAGGGTTCTGGACACAGACATCTCCAAGAGGAACTAAAACGGAGAGTGACTGCTTGTGTTTGACCACAGACAGATTTTTTTCAATTCTGTCAGAGTACAGGGAAAAATCCGGGGTAGCTTCTTAGAAAACCAAACAATTAAAAAAACAAAATTAGAGTGCGAGTGATTGCTCCAACCAAACAATGGGGAAGTACAATCACAGTTCAACTTGCTGTGAATGGGGGTTTTACAGTTATAACAACATAAACAGGGAGCACTGAGTTAGGCAAGCACTGTGATGTAACTACATGACATGAGGGGGAAGGAAGGGGATTTCTGTTTGCACTGGTGGTGTGTGGGGAGTTGAGCGTGAGGTTACATGAGATAAATATCCTCATCTACAAGTGGGACATCCGAAGAGAAACTGAACTGAAAAACCAAGAAACAGTGCAAGCACAGAGACGTGAAAAATAGCTACAGTAATTTAAACTTTGGGGGAAGTGAAGGATGGGAAGGTGCGGGGAGGAATGCTTCTACTTTCTCTTATGAGCACTGGAACACGTGTCTTTTTCAATTATGTGTCTGTATTATTTTCATAAAAATAAAATTAAGCTTGAAAAAAGTGTAAAAATAAAAGAATCCCAAGAGCCTAACAAGTCACTTTAAGCTTTCAAACTCTGGATAATCACCAGGACTATCCCTGATTAAGAAGAAGTATATCTGTAGCACATATCAGTAATCATTATTAATTAAATATTGTTTCAACCCCGAATTCTCCCCATATGAAGAACCAAATTAGCTACATTTTAGTAGAGAGTACATGGAAAACGGCCCCCCAAGATCAGAACGTACAAAGCAAATGTTTTCATTTATCAGGTTAGGATGGATTTACACGATTGCGACTGACTCATAACTTTTCAGACAGGTCTAGGAAGTTAGTTTGATCTCTTGTGCCAACACAGGATTACTCGATTATCTTCTAGGATAATTTTGATAATTAATGGGATTAAGTACCTGAATCAAAAGAGAAGATAACATTTGTAGAAGGGAAATTACCTGAAGAAAGTCACGAAGAACTGTACCAGGTCCATAAAATTGCTGTGCTGGGAGAAGGCGATCTGTGAGGGAGAAACAGGTAGTGTGAGGAGGGAGGCTACACAGGAGCGCTGGCAAACTTGGCCTTTTAGTTCAAGAGACACACATGAAATGTTCAAGGAGAAATTAATGAAATTGTTTTTCTTAAGGGAAAGTGGCTCATCCCTTTAGTTTCTTTTCTGGCTTAACCACAATCGAAATGTAATATTCTGAGGCTTCCACGCAAATTCCTAGAGTGCCTACCCCTCTGTTCTTGATATCAGATCTAAGTTCTTTTAGTGTGACCCTGAAGACGTCTCAGATTCCCAACCTTAATGCCAGGCAAGTCAGTTGGCTTGCTACTTCCTTGGGCCTTGCCCTGGACAAAATGCTCTCCCTATCTGCTTCAAGTTGGAGTTCCGTGACCTACCTGGAGGTGGGGAGCCTCATCTGCGCCCTTCATCCCTTTGATACTTACATGCTTAGTGAATACACTCACTTCAGGATACTGTTTTTTTTTTTTTTAAACCACATCTCAAAATTTAATACACTGAATATCATCTGACAGTCAATATAATACCAGATGGAACCCAAGTAATTTTATCATATGGTTAATAGTTTTTATACCAAGAATATAAAATGTCCCTTATGTAGCTCATCTAAGATACCACTGAGTGAAACAGGCATTATTTTGTACATTACCAAGAAAAAATGCTGCCCATTACACTATGGCAAAAAACTTTGAAAACCACCGACTGTAAGATGCATCATGATTTCAGAGATATCAGAACATGAAAAAAAAAATGAACACATCAGGATTTATTACTAAGTATGATATCTGTGTCCTTTTTATTATAATCTATAATACTCATAGTACTAGCCAGATGTTACAGCATATTCCCTGCTTTTTTAAAGGGAACATAGCCCTCCTTGGAGGGACAAAAGTACCATAAGTAAAGCAATTATTGAATAAGGTGATAACTGCTCCAGTACAGACAGTAAGTATGACAAAAATCAGAGAAGTAAACGATTAGCAGCTTCTTTTTCCAATCTCACCCAACTCCCTATCTTTATCAGACAGCGGCTCCCATCTTACCGTAATGCAAGAAAGTGCTAGACCCAGGCCCCAGCACTGGGACAATTCAATGCTTCGTGTTCTTTTTATGGCCAGACTCAAAGAGGCAGAAAGAGGCTTCCAGTGTTTGCCTTTTTTGATGGCCTTATTTTCTTTTTGACATTCCATAAATAAAGTCTCAATGCTACCTATTCAGGCCATAGGACGTTATGGGGTACAGAATTTGTAGTCTGTGTGTTCTCTAGCAACCATTTATAATCAGAAATACAAAGATACATAGACTTTATGCCATACATAAGGAGAAGCCCACGTTCTTTCCTTTTCCTTCATTTTCTACAGTAACTAGTCACAAGTAAGAAGACCCCTTGAGAAGACGGCCACCATCCTTGCATAGAGCTTTTTAGTATTGGAGAAGGACAATTATTTAAACAAGGTTATTCAGTCTTGAGGCATGAAGATTCCAGGTTACAACACATAAAGAGCGAGAAGGAAACAGGTTCTAGTCCATCCACATCTGTTTATAGATTTTAGTCTTTTTAAATTGTCAGTGTGTCCTCAGTGTTTAGACTTCAACAGATCCTGAGATGCTTTTCCTCAGTGTCGGGTGCCAGGATGTATGGATGCTAACAGTGCCCTCTGAGGACTCCCAGGGGTCTGTGCACCCTGTGCCACGTAACACTCTGCAGGGCTGGGATCACCACCATGAGCCTGACTTCTTGCTGACACAGAGCCATACCATGTTCATGTCTAATTCAAAACCACAATGAACCAATATAAACTGGCTGCCAGGGTGGCTGCGCCCCAAGATTCACATTACTCCAAAAGGGGATCTCTTTTGTTAAATGTTATTCATCCAAGTCTCCACAGTTACAAGGTTTTGTAGGGAAGCAAAAGGCCTAACAGAAAAATGTTTATGAAAAGACTGACCACTTAGAAACATCTAGTCTTGTTCAACACCCCACCCACCATGTCAGTTGGTTAATCCTTGACTGACAGGCTGGTGAGCTTACTGTCCAAACTGAGAACTTCTTTCTTTTTTTTTAAGATTTGATTTATTCATTTGACAGAGAGAGAGAGAAAGAGAGAGAGAGAGAGAGAGAGAAAGCACAAGCAAGGGGAGCGGCAGGCAGAGGGAAAGGGAGAAGAAGGCTCCCTACTGAGCAGGGAGTCTGATGTGGGAATTGGGGGCTATCCTAGGACCCTGGGATCATGACCCGAGTCTGAGTCGACGCTTAACTGACTGAGCCACTTAGGCGTACCCAAACTGAGAGTTTCTGAGAGAGAAGAGGAACGCTATTAAAAAGTACACTGGGGGGGGCATCTGGGTGGCTCAGTGGGCTAAGCCTCTGCCTTCGGCTCAGGTCATGATCTCAGGGTCCTGAGATCGAGCCCCGCATCAGGCTCTCTGCTCAGCAGGGAGCCTGCTTCCTCCTCTCTCTCTGCCTGCCTCTCTGCCTACTTGTGATCTCTGTCAAATAAATAAAATCTTAAAAAAAAAAGAAAAAAGTACACTGGGACAACAAGCATGAATTGGGCTGTCCCTCCTCAGCCCGTCACACATGCAAACCAACCGCAAAAGCAATCTTGTGAATGATGAGATTTTACTGAAAGTGCTGTTGGAGAACTGATCCCACAAAACCACAGGCAAATGGAGACCTGGCAGGGTTGAAGGTAAAGACGTCTGTCCTTCAAGATACTCCAAAGGGGATTAAGGGAGGGCCTTGGGAAAACCGATGATTTATTTCTATTCTTTCTCTTTCATTACAAAATAAGATCCATGAGGACTGGGACCTTGCTACTGACTACTGTGTCTCCAGTGCCTAAAGCAGATGACTGGCATGGAAGAGGTGTTTATTAAACATGTGTTGAATAAAGGAATAGGGTAATGGGAAAAATGATGACCCCACTTCCACCCTTTCCCCAAACTTAGTGAGACCTGACTGAGTTTTCTCTTTTTTTTATTTTTTAAAGATTTTATTTATTTCTTTGACAGGCAGAGATCACAAGTAGGCAGAGAGGTGGACGGAGAGAGAGAGGCAGGGAAGTAGGCTCCCCGCCAAGCAGAGAGCCCGACTCAGGGCTTGATCCCAGGACCCTGGGATCACGACCTGAGCCGAAGGCAGAGGCTTTAAACCACTGAGCCACCCAGGCGCCCCTGAGTTTTCTTTCTTCTAAGAATCGGCTCATGGTTGCAACCATTAACTTAAATTTTGTTAACTGTAAAATTAAAATAAACATTTTTTGTGATTTTGAATTTTCATTTTTCAAGACAATAAATTTCAATCAGCCCTTTCTTTTATGATTTATTATAAAACAAACATTGAAATAGACATTGAAGTGTCTGTGACTTTTCTGACACTGAAGATAATGGGGACTTCTTATAATAAGATATACTTATTGCCAATTAGAAAATGTCATTACAATTTATAAATAAAACTCACAGTGTCATTCTTCTCCCTTTCCAGACAGCAGATAATCACTCCCCACACTCCAGCAAGCCTAGAATTTATGTCCCCTTACATTTCTACAACCTGCTGCTGCCTTACTTTCAGCAATAAGTTTGATTAAAGTGTGCTTGCCTGGAAATAGGGAAAGGGAGGGGAAAGATATATTGTGTTTTTTTTTTCTAGTAAGGCTTTGACAGGCTACTTGACTTTATGCCATTGAATAACTTCGATGTTAAAAAAGCTGAATTTAAATAGATATGGGTTGAATTCAGTTGCTCTTATATTTAACTTGACTAGTCCCCATTTTTTTTTCAGTGTCCTATAGCTACCCCTACAAAGTATGTGCACAATTTCACTGCACTGAGAAATAGACTCTGTAGGATACACGTGGCCATGATCATGCCTCATTTACAGTATTGAGCCCACTAGCCCCATTATATTCTATTTACTTCTAATATGAAAGAATACAATACATACATCATTACAGAATAATCTAAAAGCAGGGATGAAAAAGAGGAAGGAAGACAAAAATGAACCTTAGGAAGCTTCTGAGAAATACTTATTAACATTTTACTATTTCACTGAAATCCTTCTCAAACTTTTTTTCAGAAATGTGATCATACAGATTCATATCTTCTTCTATTTTTTAATTCAGAAAAAAATCATGAATATATTTTTATGTCAAGATATACCTATGCCACAAACAACTTGATCTAACTTTGAATATTTAATTTACTCTGGACTTTTTTTCTTCTTCTATTATAATCATTGTTACATTAAACATACCTTGAGCCATAAATAAATAAATAAATAAATAAATAAAGCGTGCTTGCCCAGAGACCCTCTGGGTGTGCTAAATAAATGTGAGAAACTGAACTCAGAAGCCCAGCCAGCCCCAGGACTGAGGATAGGATATGGTGGGGCTGCATTTCCCAAGCACTAGTTCTGTGCTTCAGCCGAACAAGTGTTTCAGGTTGCTCTACTACGGCATTTGGTCCTTCCATCACCAGAGTGCCCTGCGCACCCATCTGCAGCGGTGGTCCCCCCTGCCTCTTGCCGCCCAGCTCAAACACTCCCTTCCTCATTCAGTTGCTGGGAATTGGCTCTCTCTTCTCTATACTCCCAGTTCCTGACCCACTTCCCTCTCAGGGCATGGGACAGTCATACTCCACCTTATTATTATGGCTGTGTATGCAGAGATGTCCTGGAAAAAAAAGACTTCTATGCTCTTCTGTCTGCAAAGGTATCAATTTCTGACTTTCTAATTATTGTAGGAGAAAGAATGGAAAGGCAATTCCCTACCTCCCACAGAGGCAGATACACCTACCTCCAGAGAGCAAATAACACCATCGTATTCCAAGAACTAGGCCATGGTTCTCAAACTCTGGAGAGCTTACAACAAAGGGCAAATCCTGGGGTCTATTCCTGCTCCTAAAGCTTTAAACTCCCCAGGTGAATCTGATGCCAGTGTCATTTCTACTTGGAAGGTTTGGCTCCCAAAGAAATTAACCTGGATCTTGTA